AACTTATGTAATGCTAACCTCCTGGAAGCCCATGCAGTTTTTCAGGGAGTGTGGATGGCCATAGAGATGGAGTTTCCGTGTGCGGTGGTTGAAAGTGACTTTTTTAATGTCGTCCTGCAGTTGGCGGATCACCACTCCGATCGTTCAGTTTTGAGATTTTACCCGGATGAGGAGCGCCATTTTCTCTATGTGCGCCCAAATATGACTGTTCGATGCATCCGTCTTGAAACTAATGGTGCTGCACATGCTTTAGCAAATCATGTTTCGTCTACTGCTGTACCTACTTGCATTTCTTCTATTGTAACTGCTGACACTTATTTTAACCAATGAAGGTATGGTTTAAATTAAAAATAATAATTAAAAACATAATGATCATAGGTTCAAATTTTGTCGTCCAATTCATACCCAATCAATAAAGATAGAGTACTATTAAAGTTAGAGAAACGGATGATTTAAATCCGTTGTACGGTCTGATAGACTGTCTCACCTTTAGGTTGCCGAAACGGGCCCCTTGTTCTAAATCCGTTGAGATAGGAGCTACTGAAAGTACAAGTTTGGGTCAAATATTGGCCCACGTTTTATTATGTTTGCTCTTCTTATCCATGGGATCACGACATCCACAAACCAGTCAGTACTCACGTTCACGTGTGCTTAAAACAACGGTTTTTTCTTCTTCTTACTGATAGATCCAAGGGATTTATGGACTGATTGCTTCTTAAAATTCTTAATTTTTATTTTGGATAAAAAAATATTTTAAGTACTAAGAAGAAAAATATGATATATTTTATATATTTTTTTATGATACAAGTTTTTATTTTTTAAAATAACATCTTATAACTTTGTAAATGAAACGGTGAAATCAAAGAAAAATGAGCCAACACTCTTTTTAACTTTAATTAGTAAATCAAAGAAAAATGGTGAAATCATGTAACTAGACCTTATGCTAATTAAGCTTCACATTTTGAACTCTAAAATTTACCATATGATCAATCTAATCCAATTTTTATCAATATTTAAAATATAAAAAATAAAAGGTAAATAAGAATCAGATAAACGTTCTTATTAACGAGTTGATAAACGAGTTGATAAATGAGCCAATAAACAAGTTTATTCATGAATATAAACGAACAAAATATATTTTTATTCGTGTTCGTTCATTTATTAAATGAATATAAAAAATTTGTTCATACTTACATCACTTAATAGTTTTCTATATGAATAATTCACAAGTAATCTATCGAATGCTCTATTCATTTACAACCCCTAATTTTTTTTCATCTACATGATATATTGTTGATGATTTATTTTCCTAATACATATATTTACTTATATTTGGTCGAACTCTAGTGTTGGGATTTTCGATAAAGCTCAATGATCAACTAAAATAATTTTTCAAGAGGGGTTTAAGTGAATTTGAGAAAAATTTAGGGATTAAGGTGATTTAAGGATGAAAAATTTGATGCACAAATATTTATAGTGGTTCGACTTTCTCAACCAAAGTCTACATCCACTACCTTAGCTTCTCACTAAGAATTTTCTAACAAATTCACTAATTCATTCTTTCTTTTTACAGGACAAATAGATAATATTTACAAATCACTATCTTTTCAATGGCTAAGATAGAACTACTCAACTTTTACAAAAATGAATAAAATGTGTAAACAAGAAAACCTCACAAAGGTAGGAGTTCACAAAAATTAAGCTCAAAAGCACTTACGTACAAGAGAAAAGGAAAAATAAGAGTGAAAGAGTTTTTCTCTTGATCTCAATTGCTTGGACAAGTGTTGTAACCCTTCTTCAAATGTCCTCAACTTATTTTTATATGTTGGAATGAGCTTGTGACTGTTTCTAGCAGTTGGGGATGATTTAGAGTCGTTGGAGATACTTTTTTTGCAAAATAAAATCGCCTAGGACAGGGAGTATCAGTACTCCTCTAATGATTATCGGTAATTCCTTTATAATTTTTAAATAAATTAGTCGTTACTAGCCATTGGGTCTGATCAGTATCGATACTATGGTTATAGTATCGATACTACTGTGTAAAGTAGTATTGATACCCCTATAAGTATCGATACTTATTTTGCATTATGAAATTTGAGCAATTTGGAAAACACTGGAAGTATCGATACTACCTATAGAGTATCGATACTTATCTTACCTTTGGTATCGATACCACGTGAACAGTATCGATACTGTTTATGCAGTATTGATACTGTAATAACAGTATCGGTATTATGTACCCAAAATATCAGTTTTATGCTCAAATTCTATTTTAATAAACTTTAAATTATTTTTTGAAAACTTTTCAAAACTTTGAACAAATTCAATTTAAGTCCAAAAAATATTTTACTTTAATTTATTATATCAAAATATTATAAAATATGACTCAACTTCTAGTATATTTAATATTTGGCTTTTAACATAAATTTGAATCGCTTTCAAGACATGGGTGGCCTAGACCCTATGCCTTTACTATCAGCGTCAACAATTAAGACACATCGCGTGTGTTTAGATCATATGATATCTCCATTATTAATATGAATTTTTAATTACGAGACTAAAATGAAATAAACATTAAACGTTTTTTTTATGTTTAAAAAAAATAAAAATTTAAATATTAAAATAGATTAAAATTGAGAATTTAGGTATTAAACGTATAATTTATCTTAAATATTTTAGGGTATGTTTATTTCATTAAAAATATTTTTCGAAAAATGTTTTAAGTAAAATAAATGACATTTTTCTGTAAAAAATTTTATAGTGCTTAGAATATGTTGTATAAACTATTTTTCACTAATCGATAAATTTTATAATAATAATTTATTAAAAATATCAAATGCAATAAATAATACTATTTATTATAAAATTTTTATATTATTATTTTTTAAAATATTAGAATAATTTATTTAATATAATTTATGTCAATATTATTATTAAAACATTACTTCTACAATTTTATAAACAAAAATATTAGGACTGGTATATTCTATTGAAATAAAATATTATAAATTACATTACCGATTTATTAAAATAAAATTTTATAATATATTTTGAAAATTTTCAATGAATATATTTTAAGTATTTTTATTAAAATATTACTAGACTATTGTATTAATATTAAATACATAAATAATATTATTTATTATTAATAATTCAATAATATTAAATTTAGGAAATTAATAAAAAAAAATATAAATTTTATTAATAATTTATTATATTGTTAAAATAAAAATATAATATCATATATTATTATAATATAATTAAGTATATTATTATAATATTAAAAATATTATATTATATTATTAAAAATATCAATAAAGATATTTTTCAAAAAGTATCAATAAGTATATTATTATAATATTAAAAATATAATATAGTTAAGTATTTATGTTTTATAGTGAAAAGTTCAGAAAATTACTTACAGAAAATTAGGTCGTAGGTCATTTTTAAAAAAAGGCAAAAGAAATTATGTTAACCATAAAAATATTTTACATCGAGCAACTTATTTTCTGCCAATCAAATACTAAAAATTGAAAAAAAAAATGTTTTTCAAAAATATTTTACTTAAAACAAACATAATCTTAATTTAACTATAATTACATCATTAAAAAATGTTGTTTGTTTCGAAAATGGAAGTTGAATACAAAGTAAAAAAAATAAGAACAACTTTGACACAAGACAATATCAGTAATGCTACGACAGGTAAAGTACAATCATATGTCGGGAAGTTGCGAGAAAGCAGAAAATGGGGGAGAGTGAATTCGAAAGTAACTAAACCATGAAACAAGACATGACTGACATGACCAGAGGTACCATTGTATCACATAACACATATTCCACATGTCATGTACAACCTAATATGGTGGCCATCAAAGAATGGTCCCATTGTTCTCTAAACCCACATGTAATTGTCTTCCCCTATATCTCCATCGACCACATCCTCCACTTCACATGGGCTGTTTCTTTCCGGTAGTTTTTTTTCTCCCTTTGATGCATAATAAGTGGAACTGTTTTAATCCCCTTGTATTGTATGTGATCTGACGTTCCCGGATTAAACTTTCGAAACCCTCATCTCGGCCGTCCATCCATCGGTCCACACTTGTCGTCTTCAATGGAGTTTCCCCCACATTTTCACAGGCATGGCAGCCGTATCTGTTGCTGTCTTGAACCCAAGTGCAAGGCACCAGAACGGTATTTCTCATTTTATATATTAGGTTAGAGCGGTATATGAAGCAGGCCAAGCTCACATATCAACTGAACTTGTTTTCCTTTTAGGCCCAACTAAAGCGTAGTTTATTTATCTATTTCATACATAAGAGTTGTAATTGGTCCTCGAACATTGCTTGCTTAACTCGAGGGTGCCACACGTAACACTGAGAATGCAAAATTAACTCGTTTGTTTTAAATAAAAATCACTATCTTTTATTTTAATTTTTATTCATCTTTCTTTCTTGGTTTAACCATCAACTTTGATTTATTATAATTTATTATATTATAATAAATCATTGTAAAAGCTTGTATAATAATCATCTTCTTGTATTAAGACGCATGAAGTCGCACGTAGCCAAAATAATAAAATCCCACAATCAATCAATAGAATTCTTTTACAAAGGAAAGGAAGTCAAATTACTTTATTAAAACACAACCCACGCTTGGCTTCCTTTACGCAAAGGCATCAGGTGGATGGCTCTGCAGTGCAAGAAAATTTGAATTAAAATTAATTTATTTCCGAGTATATAGTGAATATTGTACATATCTAAATAATTAAAATTAATATACAGAAATTATTTATTAGAGTTATGATGCCCAAATCACATTTTAATTAACTTTTTTTTTTTAATATCTTCTCCAAGAAATAAAAATAAAAATAAGTATTTTTTCTTTAGAATGTGTGGAAATTTAGAATATCAAAACCAAAAGAAGTGAGTTGGACATATAGCAAGGAACAACCATTTAATAATTAGCCAACCGTTATCCGTTCTACTTTAGCTTGGCTGCATTGCATTCCCTTTCACAGTAACACTAACAATATACACAATCCTTTTGCAGGTCCCACAACCCACTAACAAAAATCAGAGCCCACCGCCCACCACAAAACAAAAGGTGCTTCCATCATTGATCCAACTACAAAGAAGAAGAAAAACAAGAGCATATAAGATGACCTTTGAAAATTCCCTCCCCTTGTGAACTTTGCCGATGGCCTGCTTGAAATTTTTTATATGCATTTGATATGAAAAACAAAACAAAGTCCCCCCAAAAAATGAGCTGAAAAGAAGGGTCAAATAAGCTATGGCATCTGACTTTGATAGCACTTTGACGACAGAAAACGACTTATTTTCCATGTGGGGGGGACACGAATAGGATCAACTACCGGATGCGTACCTTTTATCTGGTCTTGCTTTGTTTATCGGATGGGGAGTCTACGGAGGGTTTGTTTCAAGCTTAACAACGGAGGAGGTATCCAGAGGCTGTGTGTGGTAAATTGCGGTGGCCAGCGAGGTTGGCATGATGCAAAGGGCCTTTGATTGAAGGAATTGCATGGCGGCTCCGACATTTTCTTCCATCAGCTTAGCTACTTGTCGCTCTGTGCCATCGTTTGACCATTTCTCCCACACCGGTTGGCTTCTTCCACCCTCACCACTTTCATCCTGGTGATGCAAAAAGGAATGCTCAATTGATTTGAATGAATACCTAATCCGTATAAAAATGTCCTACATTACATTTGCACGAGTGAGTACTTATTTATTACCTCAACTAGTGATAGTGGGATGTCCGTTACGAGCGGTGCCACTGCACCAGCTGCGCCCAACCTACTCATGCTCAAGACCTGTTAAATAAATAACCACATAAGGTCGTTTGTCTTTACTTCTTAAAATGATTTTACAAGTTCTTAAGAAAACATAATAGACCCTACACATTAAGTGGGAGAATACCAGAAATTATTTTTTGTCATCATCACCCTTTGAACTTGTAAAATTTCTGATATATAATAGCATGAACCTCAACTTCTTTCGGTAAAAAATATTGCAAAGCCATAAAAAATGTTCATTTGGACTTCTAATCAGGACTCACATTCCTTGAAGAAATGGTAAAAGCTAGAGAGGACAAATTTATGATGTTTTAGCTGTAATTCGTCAAAAAAGGGAATATACGAATCAAATATATTGATCAAGGAAAACATCTAAAAGTAGAATGCAGATTCATGTAACATGAAACGTAGACTGATCCCATAATCGTAAGTGGCATTATGATATGCAGTAAAGCAAAATCTGAATAAAAAGTACAGAATCAAACAGGTAAACAGAGTTAATGATACCTTAACTTGGAGCCTCAGGAACTTTATATCTACAATTTCATCAAGCATGGCAGCTCTATCAGTCTACACAAAGAAACATATGTCACTACTGATGAAGTAAGACGCATATACATAGTTAAACTTTCTCATGGTTACCTCCCAAGACACACAAATATACAATAAAGGCATCCATATCACAAAGTGATCCCTATAACAATAATCAACTAAGCTTAAGTTATAAAGCACTAGTCAACTGTAAAGTTATACTAGCTCTAGAATTAGGACATCGATTCATTCATCATCTGTAGACACTTCTATTGACAAACAATGAAGTTAACTTTAAATGAGTGCACAAACCCTCGAAAAAATAATAAGCTAAAAACAGTTCTAAAGCTTTAACATCACCAGTTTAGACATAAAACTATTACAAGGTTATAGAAGATGAAGCAGATAACTGCTTCCGATAAGAGCATGCTCCTTACTAATATTAATTTAGAAAGAAACCAGTTAATATTAATAAGCTTTTTCTAGCCAACCTAATAACTGTATCATTTGGGGATAAAAGTTCCAATATAGGAAACAAGTAAATTTATGAACGATGAAAAGGAATTGACCTCGTGTACACTAGGAACAAGTTCCTGCAGTGCTCGGGTTCTTTCGGCAATTCTTTCCCTGCGTAACTGCACCAATGGAGAAAAATGAATAGTTCAAATGTTTAGTTGTAGTTGCAACCATTGGTAGACCAGGATCACTTTTGCAATTTCACAACATAAGTGGCAATAAACTGCAAGATTCTATCCTCATAAAATATGATTTTGTATATGGGGTTTTATATATCTTCAGTATTTCTCTATGACTTTAGTTCATATGTTTAGTTGTCGTTGCTATATGTTATCATTAATCTGCTACTTTGCATTGCTGATATAAACATAATCTAAGAAAAATACTTTTGAGAGAGATAATTCTTCTCAATGAGTTTACCTTCTATGTTGTGTATTAACCGAACAATAGAAATAGTATTTAAAATGACAATTTCATTCAAACATTTCATGTGACCAAACTAGTAACTAGTTAAAAGGTGTCTATTCAGTATACTGATTTCTAGAGTTTTAAAATTTTCTTGGCTGAAGAACTAACTTAGTCATGTATTTTGTTTCTAGGACAGAAACATACACCTGTATTACTGCCCTTCATTATCTTTTGCCATTTCCCATGTTTTCTATGATCGTATATAAAATATAAAGCTTACCCGTTCAGCAATGCTGTGCGGATCTGTGGCCTGTCCTCGTCTAGCCCGCACCCTTGGGCACATTGCTGGTGGATGTGGCGCAGCAGCAACAGTACCTAGTGTGTGTTGGCCATGGAAAACCTGGAAAGTTATATAAATCAAATAATCAATTATAGAATTTACAGAATAACGTAAAACTAACATCAACACCATCTTTTTTCTCTTTTCCACCTCCACCATCTCTCCTCTCGTCAAGGAAAGGAAAAAGGGGAAAACAAAGGAACATCGGTTAGCGCATAATCGTTCAAGGAGACCATCTGATTGCTATGTAAAAAATTGTGGAATTTAAGCATATGTATAACAGTGAAAAAACATATATATTGACCATTTTCTACTGATGATAGAACGTCTTGACCATGACTGATTCTTCAAATCTAATATTAAATAAAGGGGATATCGGATCCATCTTTTCTTCTGTAATAATTTTAAGCTATCCACATTTTCCAACATAACAAGAAACTGCTATGAAATTTGACACCTTCCACAAATAACTGAACTATTATCATATGTTGACAATTAAACCAAGTCCAAAATTTCTAAAACTCGATTGAGTTAGCATAAGTTTAGTGCAAATTAAGGAACCAACGACCATCTACCAGTCATTTAAACGGCCTTTAGTGTACTATAAAGGAGATATTATAGATTTTCTGACCCTAGCTTATAAGTTTCAAGCTTCAACCATATGTCCTCTAGAAAAGTAGATCTTTCATTTGGAGTAAGCTTATTTTGTTGATGCAAGTTTGCTGCTAATCTATACACTGTAAATTATACACTGCAAATTAGATTATGTCACTTAAAAATCCTTGGACTTTCATGTGTTCTTTCCTTTGTCAAATACCACAACTTGGAATCTCACACAGTTTTCAACCCACCTCTGCTCCAAATATGTTGTGTTTTCTTTGCTTCCTCTGCTATTAGACACAAACACGCGTTATTTTTGCGTGTAAAATCAGACAAATTCGGTCACCCACAGTTGAAAATGTAAAAGCAAAAAAAAAAAAAGTTCACCCAAATTGGTAGAGGTCATTTTTGGGAACCAAACAAACAGAACGACACAAGGGCAAACTATTAAATGAAATACAAATCATATACTTACAAAATAATTGTTTTTTCCTTACATTTTTTACTGATGAAGCTCTGCCATCAACCACCTCGTCGCGGAAGCGCTTACCACTATCGGAAGCTTCCTCGGGCTTCAAAAATCCACCTTTTCCTTGCTCCAAGCTCAACCCCAAAGGAAAAACCTGTCCATGAAACGCACCGCCTCCCCCGCAGCCGGTTGCGCCGATGTGCCCGGTGGTACCACCAGAGCTGAGCTGCAGAAGCATTGGCGCTCCAGCCGTCGAGGCGTTTCCAGACAATCTACCGTCGGGTCCCACTAAGCCAGTGTCAGTATGCGCGAAGTTAGGAAGTCCGAGGATTTGGTCGAAGAAATCATCGGCGGGGGACTCGTTGGGGTTATTCGCCATGGAATTGAGGTGAGTGGAAGTGGCGAGTTAAGGCTACCGAAGGGCACTACATGCAAAAAGGAAATGGCTAAAGAGAAATGAACCCAACAAAAGAAAAACAGAAAAAGATTTAACTTTTTCAACGAGAGAGAGAGAACGTAGATTTTTTCTTTGACAGTGAGATGACCGGAAAGAGGAGAATTTGGAGTGTTAGTTTAGCTTGGCTAAGCATTTGGTTTTTCTTTTCTTTTTCTTTCTTCAAATAAAGAGAAACGGAAAGAGGGGGGGGGGGGCGAACTAGAGGGGCGTAAACGAAGGTGTTTTTTAGTTAATTGCATCACACGCCCCTAATTTATGAATTTAATTTAAAATTAATATTGAACTTTTAAACATTTCAATATCGTTCCTAAACTGACTTTCATTTTAAATTAATCTTTAAACTTTTAGATATTTCAATAACATCCCTAAAAATATGAATCTCATTCTAAATTAGCCCAAAAACTTTTGAACATTATGGTTTCATCCTCAAATTATAAATCTCATTCTAAATCGATGCCTAAACTTTTGAACATTTCAATTTTATTTCTAAACTATCAATATATGTTATTCAAATCCCCTATTAATAAAATTGTTAATTGTCACATAAATAATGATATGTATTGAGTAATAATAAGAAACATCATAAATGATAATTAATGGTAGGTTTAAATAAAATAATGATTTAACTTTAAATCATAGAAATAATTATAAACAAATGGATGATGAAACTAGAATATGGGTCATAGTTTGGGGTTAAAATTGGAATGTTAAAAACTTGGGATCAATTTATATTGAATTTCATAGTTTTGAGATGAAATTAGAATATTAAAAAGTTCGATGACCAATTTAGAATGAGAGTTATAGTTTGGATATGAAATTAGAATGTTTAAAAGTTTGTGAACTAATTTAAAATGATAGCCATAGTTTGGGATGTGCGGTGAAAATAACTCTAAATAAAACAATAATTTTGTTTTGGAACGTAGAAATAACTATAAACAAAGTGAGGATCAATTTAGAACAAGAGCCATAATCTAATGATGAAATTGGAACATTTGAAAGTTTGAGGACTAATTCAAAATAAGACCATAATTTTATGGACGAAATTGAAATATTCAAAATTAATTTACAATGGTTGTGAAAATGTCAATCACCTTACATTGTTTTGAAAATGTCCTTGTTTTGAAGATATGAATTATCTACTCGCTTTACTCAAAAAATTATCAATTCGCTACTTAACTATAAATACATTAAATTGTTGATGGCCAATTTATAAACTACAACATCATTTTAACAATTCAAGGAAAAAAAACTACAACAAAATGGTTACACTTACCGAGCTAAATTAATTCTAAAAATCACATGAAATTTCAACATCTCTAATGTTGTGTAATTAGCAAGTATATTCATCCTATATCACATTCACAGCTGTTGATCCTGAGCTTTCAACAACCGAGGCAATTAAGGTGCTAAATTCATATGTTCTATTAAAAAAAGGTGCTAAATTCCTATGGATATCACTCCCTCGAAGGCATATGAATGGAGGCATAAAGTGCATCCAAGCATGCATAATGTAGTATACGCACATGGATCATGTAAATATCAGGATATTGGCTTCCACATATTCCTGACCCTGAACTCCAGGGTCATTCTTGCTCCCCATAAGAGAAAAGTACTCAAAGAAGGCAGAACAATTACATCAAAGTTTCTTTCAGAAAGTGATATGAACAATTCTCGAGCAAATAATCTTAAAATGCCATCCGAATGACTCTTGTGAAGGTGCAAGACACACAAGGGAGGATCCATGAGAGGAAATTGAATTTTTTGCGAAGAGTCAACTTACAAGAACACGTTGGAAGTTTTGGACACAATACGAAAACACGACACACGTAATGCATTCATATTTAAATTTTTGGCACTGATTTTTTGTTGTGTTAATTTTCACTAACAGACACACATACACACACAACAAAAGTAACACGCACAAAAGAGAATACGAGCATACACGGATTGCATGTTCTACTTATAAATGGCTGAAAATGATGAGTTTAGGGGAATCCTTTGAGGAACGAAAAATATTTCGAAATTCTGTCTACGAAGGTCTCTGTCCTAGATAATTCATGAAAAATAATTAAATTCGAAGCAACACAAATTATGGCAACATTGAGATGCAAATACCCTGGCAGCCCTTCCCCACTTACAGAAAAAGACCCCCAGTCCCACACCGGTTCACAAGTTAAACTCTATGAAGCAATGCATATAACAATAATTGAAAGAAAAGGAAAAAAAACGACAAATTAAAAGGATTGCTTCTTTGTAAGGCAATAGTAGTGAAGAGGAGCAAGCAGAGCAGTAGCTATTCCCTGCTTAAGGAAGTAAAATATGACCAGCCTGAGGCAGATTTACAAGTTCAACATAAAAACAAAGGATTAAATTAACAAAACTATTAGCAAATAATCTTTGTTAAGGAATGATAACATCGCATAGATAAAAGTGAGAAGAAAATAACTTGGGAATTTTAACCATTAATAAAAAGAAAAGAAACGTATTCAACACAGATACAAATACTACGTTTAAAACTGACAGTACAAGAAAAACAGAACAGCATGACAACTAAAAATGGTTCCATCATCGATCAAAATGAAGACTCAAGTTCAATCCAAGTACCGCCTTCAGGAAAAAAAGTTCAATCCAAGCACCAAGTACCGAGTCGCAGAAGCATATAACAAAAACATAGCGTGAATCTAAAATTAAAAATACTAACCAAAAAGTGGGGGGTGTGGAGTGAAAATTTTGAAGGGAAAAAATCACTCTTACACCTTCTCTTCCCTCTCTCTATTCCATTGTTCAATCCTGGCTCTTCGCTCCTCACTCCCTTCTCTAGATGGTGGAGGGCTTCTGCTTCGCCTAGGACTCCCATGTTTTCTCCTACCACTGCCTTCACGGTCATGTCTGTCAGATCTTCGCCCATTCCTATCACGATCGCGGTCGCGGTCCCGGTCCCGGGACTCTCTGTCACGCCTCTGGCGTGGACTGGCACTCCTGCGGCGAGGACTGCCGCTCCTGCTCCTACTCCTTCTGTATTTGCGGTACCTCCCGAACAGCTTCCTTCTCAGCTCCCTCCCAATTACCTTGACGTGCATAAAATTACAGTAACCCCCACGGTTACAGCTGTTCTCCTCGTATTGCCGACAAGTGGCCTCGCGAAAATCAGTGACTGGGGAGAAATCCGCAATGATAGGCCGACCGGAGTAGAACCTTCCTTGAAGAGCCTGGAGGGCGGCCGCTGCCTGGTCCTCCTCCCTGAACTGAACGTACACATTCCCGATCATGTGGTCGGCAAGGTTGTCACAAACGTTGAGGCTCTCGATCTCGCCGAACTTGTTGAGCTCCTCGAAGATGTCCTCGTAGAAGTCCTCGAAGTGCTCTTGAATCTTGCGGGGGTCGATGGGCTGGCCTTGGGCATCCACTCCGGGCGTGATCATGTCGGGGCGATGGTACATGTTCGACAGCAGGAGGGTGGGAGAGATCGTCGGACGGTTGTGGAGCCGTGAGCACCTGTCCCCGTGTCGGCATGCTCCAATCTTGAAATAGAAGGGGCAATTCACGCGGTCCTTCTCGGTGCCAAAGATTGAGGCCAAGTGCTCCGCCATTGTCGTTCGAAATCAGGAACAAAACAAAAGGGCAGACGCGGTAAATATAATTTTTTTATTAGAAGACACTAATCTAATCGAAGGGGAAGGAAACTAGAATGTGGTCGGAGGTACGGTTAGGGTTTTCGAAGCCCTAATGTTGGACTCTTGGGTTTTTGGAGGGGAAGGAAAGAAATGATTCAGGAATATATCTCGGAAATGAGTTGATTTCTTTTTACGTTTGGGCCTTGCGGTTTGCTGATTCAGCAGGCCGAGGAAGGCTTTCTTAACAACGAGATTTGTTTGTGCAGAATTTACATTTTATGCGATGAAAAAAATATGACGTAAAGTTTTTCTTAATATTATAAATAATTATTTGTAATTTTTATTATTTATTAAAATTTTGTGTGTTAGATAAAATTCTACATAATTTAATATTATATTTCGATATTTATTAAAAATAAAATTTTATATTATATTTGTATTATTTTAATATTTTAATCACTTATCGTTATTTTTTTTATATAGAGAGTCGATGATGTGATATAGAAAATAATAGTTTAATCTCAAAAATATAAATCGGTTTAATTTTAATTTAAAATAATTAATATTTTAAAATAATAAAAAATTATTTCCATAAATTAACAAAGGATCTTATTGAGCGTAGATAAGCTCACTTTCTCTTAGCACGAACAAGTTTGCACACTACTCCGCCCCCCTCCTTTTAGGTATAGCCCACAGATACAGCCACACCTACCTTCACAAAAATCACTCACTACCTACTAACACGTGTATGAAAGAGGTGGAAATTATCCACGTGACGGTATATTATTGGATTGTTTTTGTAAACAAACAAAGCAGTAGATTTGTTATGATTGTTCCCGCATAAATGATTAAAACAGGAAGCAACGGTGAAAAAGGGTGAATTGCAGATTGGGGAGAAAGAGAGAAGAAAAACGATGAATACTGTGTTCTCAGTTGACGATTTCTCTGACTGCTCCTGGGTGGCTCCGGTTTCCAACGCTGCGACTGGGATGAGCCGAAGCCATTCAGAGTGGGCGTTGGAAATGTTCCTGGAAGAATTTTCTGGTGCGGGCGAGAATTTGATCGGTCCGTCCTCGGCGGCACCTCAGCCGTCCGTTTCAAAAGCTGAAGGAGGTGATGACGTGGTGGAGATAAAAAATCCTAACAACCAGAATCACAATCCTCCGCCGTCTGATCCAACACCGAGATTCTCGATTGATTCCGATGAGTTCCGCTCGATCCTGAAGAGCAAGCTCGAACTAGAATGCGCGGCGGTTGCTCTCTCTCGTGTATTTCTCTCTTCTCTATAATCCCCGTTTTCAAAACGGATTTATTCTTATATACTATCATTAATACTTGTAAGTTTTCCCTTTTTATTTCTCTTCAAACGAATATTCAGGCGTTAGCTGTGAAGGCAGAGGATTCGTCTGCCCAAGCTGAAAATCACGCGCTTCAATCGGGATCAAAAGTGCAAGGTGAGCTTTGTTTTGCATGCACTTATTTGATTTGAAAATCATGAGCTTCAATTTTGGTGATTAGCAGTAGGTTTACTTATGATATTGTTTTGTTATAATGGGTGGTTGAAACCATTAACGTTGTCCTTTGAGTTTTACTTTTTGTCTGTTGGCCTCTTTATGTATTGGGACAAGCATCTACGGTGCTGGTTGAATGTTGTTCATCAAGTTTGGTTTTATGGCCATCTAGGCACCTAGTGCATAATGATAATGAATGACATGAATATTTATTTAGTTTGTGTCGTTCTAGGTTAACTCCAACAATGTTTTTTGGCTGCTCGGTGAACTGTAGGAAATAAAATTAGTTAGGAATTGCTGGAGTCTTCCTGCAGATATCAGGCATGGTTATGCCTAATGATTTCAATATTGCATATTTTCATGGCGTGCCATCTGATTCTATATCCATTTATGCTAGAGCTGAAAGTGAAAGGAAGGAGAACAAGAAAAAAAAGAGGGAGATACATAAAAATGGAACTAAATTGCTTACTAGATTTGATAATTTTTAGTAGTTTAGCTATAAATTTCTCTAGGCAGTCAAAGACAAGTAACACTACCCCATTTATACTGCTATGTTTCCCTTCCAGCTATTTCTTATCGCTGGAGTCTTCCTGCATATATCATGGTTATGCCTAATGATTTTCAGTATTTATATTTTCATGGAGTGCCATGTGATTCTATCTCGAGATATGCTAGTGCTGAAAGAAAAAGGAAGGAAAACTAGAAAAAATATGGAGCTTAGATGAAAGTGGAATTAAATTGCTTTGCTAGATTTGATAACTTTAGTAGTTAGCTATAAATTTCACTAGGCGGTCAAACAAGACATGTAATACTACCCGTAATACTACGCCTGAATATGCTAGGGAACTTCATAGCTCTTCAGTAGAGTTCTTCATGCATTAATTTGGTATATCTTTCCCATAACTACTTCAATGATGAATTATCTTCCACAATCCTAGGTTCCTCAAAGGTACAAGGACAGGGTGAAGCTGATTTCACTCCTTGTGGAGTTCTGGTGGAGTCAACCACACAAAAAAATCAGGAGTGCAAGTGAGGCAAGCCACAAGTGGATCATCAAGAGAAGACTCAGATAGTGATGAACTCGAAGGAGATACTGAAACAACTGACAACATGGGTGCAGCTGATGCAAAACGTGCAAGGAGGTAACCATGTTTTTAGTGTTGGCTTGTATTTGTGATTGGTTTGAGGGGTTTGAAATGCTATGCATTCGGGGGTTTTTTCTATTTTGCTCAACATATTCCTTCCCTTTCTCTTTTCCCCCCTAATTTAATAAGATTTGTCTTCTATATTAGTAAGCTATAAGAACTAATTTTTTGTCTTGAACAGAGTCAAATATATATTTCGTAAATAGAACTTGAGCCTGATGATCTATAGATTTAATTAAACAAAATGTTATTATCTTGTCAAACTCTATTCCAGCTCTTGGCTGAAATAGTATCTCCTTTTTGTGTTTTTCTATTCTATTTTAGAAAATCATATATTTGTTTAGAAGCACTAGTTCTAAGCATTTATAATATGTGTCATTACCATATGTAAACTAAAACTCGTACTGAACTAAAATTTAATTTTCTGGTGCAATCACAAATTACCCTCTAGTAATTAGTGAATTAATGATGGATCAGAATGCAGTCAAATCGAGAATCGGCTAGACGATCTAGAAGAAGAAAGCAAGAGCAAATGAATGAACTTGAAGGACAGGTTTTTACACATTGTTCCCCCTTCCCTTTGATGGTCTCATGCATTCTATTTTTGGTGTCTTAGTTGACCCTCTAATTGGTTTTTCTAGGTTGGTCAACTAAGAGTTGAACATTCCACATTGCTTAAGCGTCTAACTGACATGAATCACAAGTATGATGAAGCTGCTGTTGACAATAGAATTATGAAGGCTGACATTGAGACTTTAAGAGCAAAGGTAAACCATCACTGTTCCTAATTTTGCATTTTCTTATCATGATATAATTATCCTCCTGTTAGTTGACATAGGGTCCTCCTGAAAGTTGAAAACTGACTTCCAAATATATACCCGGAGAATTATTACCCTGACATCATGACATTTGTGGTCTTGTGTAAAATTTTGAAAAGCTCTGGTGCTCCATTTTCCTTCATCTAAGAATTGGGGCTTTAATTGGTAAACACATACTATATTAACAGATTCTCTTGTTGTCTTTTGGCAATTTATATGTGCTCCATCTCAGGGATCTGCTGGAGATGTCTACTGTCTAGTACTTATGCACTGTCACTTCTATGGAGTATTTAACTATTCTTATAACTTTTATTCACAACTTGTATGTCTTTCTAAGTTTACACAATGGATAGACATGATCCATTGTGTTAGTTTATCCATTGTTTAGACTGTTGGCAAATGAGAAACATTGTCGGGCGCCGTTATTCTGGAAACACTGCTGCAGGAGAGGCTTTTTTAAAAAAAAACTATTTACTTACTTTTTCATATATTGCTATCGTTTATGATGGGTGCAGCTTTAGTTCTGGATTGTCAGATTGATAATTCAATTTGAAATTTTCAGGTGAAAATGGCTGAAGAAACAGTTAAGCGGGTGACAGGGATTAACCTGGTCTTCTATCTAGACCCAATATACCTAGTGTAGGCATGCCTTTTCTTAGCAGCACATTGGAAGCATCTACGGTTGCTCCTCTACCATTGCAGTCAAACACTAACCAGTTTTTTCACCCAGTTCCTAGCATTGTTGCACCCATGCATCATAACGGGGTGGAAGGTAACACCCTGGTTCCCCCTGTTATGACTTCACATACTAAAGTAGGAATGAAGAATGTCAATGAAACATCTATATCACAGCGTAGACCCAGCTTGGAGGGTGTTCAAGATCAGATTGGTCCTGGTGTCCATGCACGTGGACCCATGCCTGGTTGGGAGCCTGGCCATGCTGCTGATAGGAACCGCAAGCAAAGTTGAATATTAGCTCCCTCTTGTTTTCTGTTTGTTTGTTTTTCTTAGACGCTCAATTATGGCTAAATCTATTGACAGTTATTGACTCACTGCAATTTTGCTTTTAACATCTTAAGTGAAAGACAATCGTATATCTGTATCATATAACGACTACCACTCTATTTCTTGAATAAAACTTATTTGCTAAATAGTAACGTGTGAAATTCGTATAGGATGTACAAGGTGCTAAATCTGTTATTAAGGTTACACATTTCAGGTATTAAAGGTGATTAGACTGCAAATACAAATTTTTAAACCCAAACTTGTTGAATAAAAGTAGCAATCAATTCATCAGTGTAAATTCCTTTGATCAATAGTCGGAATGACCACAGAGCCATGTCGTTATGAGCACAATCTGGGCGTAGGATGGGAGTCCTTGTTTTCGTAACTGTCTCAAACCAAGCCAATATAACATATATGAATTACATAAATTATGAGATTCAAATTATCATGAGCTTTGGTTAACAACATTCAATCTATCCTATTTGTTGTCAATAAAATTATTCATCCATCCATACATCACATTACACGGGGAACATGTCAGAATTTCCCCCTTGGACATTATAGATAAGCATATGAACACTAATGTTACATATATTGCTGAAACGGTACAGCTGGAATGTCTGAAAATCTGATCTCCTGGGATCATAGGGTCAAAGCATGTGTATGCCTTTCAGTTACCCTCACTGAATTTTTGTGTTAGATTGGAGACCTGATTGAACTTTGCTCTGGAAATGCGTTTCCAACCTGCAAGTCAACTCTACTAAAGTCAATCACAATGGACGACACAGAAAAAAAGAGAACCGATGAACATAAGGAGATCATTCATGCTTGTTGAACATTTAATCATGATGAAAGCAAAAGAAAGATAAGCACAAGTGTTCATGCCTGGTTGCACATTTATAGTATATAGTATCAGGAGAATTATAGGTGCGTGCATTAGCAAACATCCTCTTGACATCAGCTACAAACATCTCAAGCGTTACATAATATTGCTCCGATTCAACTCTTTTTGACATAGTCTTCAGATCTGTGCATTATACACATATACGGTCAAACATAACAATTATTGCGTCTGTAATTGTTTGCAGTCAGGTGCATCTTTATAAACAGGAGCTTAACTTATCATGAGATATAGCTTGATGGTATTCTATACAACCTGAAGCTGTACTAGAGATTGGCTGGTGGCTTATTAATACAAAGAATTTGCAAGACTAGCTGAGCCGTAAATACTCGTAATAGAAACTAGAAACTTCAGTCAGGTTACTAGACAAACCTTCATCGTACTTGATTCAATATTCTGATTTCCAAATCAACCATGGAAATTTAACAAAATATTAGTTTTCAAAGCCAAAACAAGAACTAAATATCATGCAACGCTTTCATAGATTTATAGTTTTCTACTTCCAAGAAAGATTTGGCCTTGCCTGCAGCCACTTGTTGCCAAGAGAAAAATGATAAAGAGCTTTCTCGCTCAAACCTAAACCAGCTTGACAGCTACATCATCCTATCATGGTTGCTTATATGAACCTTACCCACGGGATCTTTGATGATGTCATAATAATCGGGTACATCGCGAGCATCAACTGGCTCCTTGAATGGCCAAGCATCAACATGGTCATGCATTGACTGCTTGAACAAAATCAATTTGCTTAGAAGTCAATGAAAATTATGGCAGGGGATGCTCATATAGACATCTGATTTCAACCAAACACTTGGAGAGAATCAAGTTAACATGAGTAAATGCTAAAGGGCACTGACTTATTAACATTTATAGTTATCCAGTAATTCGGCCATGGTAAGAATCCTTAAGTATTAGCATAAAATAGCTACCCCTGCAACTTAGACATCGACCCATTGGGTTCCTAAAGTAAAAGGAAGGTGTATGATTGCTAGAAGAAGGGCACATGCATGCATCCTCCACAAGCCTCTTAATCACATTCATTTGCAACAAAAGGAAACAGGATAATGATTATTCAGAGTTATACTCAACAACAACTCTGATAGAAAACTAAGCATCAATAAATCACAATTACAACTGCAATCAATAATGAAGATATATGCAGATGAGGAACAATTATAAGTTTAGAAAGTTGCCTTCAGAAGTGAGCGCATGAAACCAGTTAAATGTTTCTGATTTGTGGTGTTGTCTGCGGACACAATTAAGGATCTAAATCGCGTATGTCCCCATTGATCAGGAGTCCATCCGGCTTCCTCTGTTAACAAATTAATGAAAATTCAGGATTTGGTTGATTAAAACTTCCGGGAGGCAGACAGTCTTTGAATATATATGTATGTTAGCATCAAAAATAAATAGGGAAAGATTGTAAGTTGTTAGATAAAAGACAAACTCAAGATATCTTCCTTATTTAATTTGAAGTTAAGAGGAACAAATATATATTCACCCAAATTTTTAGCCAGGAATTACAATGCATATACTTTTTTTTATAATTAGCAAATATGAATGCATATAATTGCAATACAATATTTATATAAAACATGGAAAACGGAAACAATTATCTAATATAATGTCCAACGACTGAAAAAGAATAAAAAAGAAAACTCAAAAACTAAAATCAACCAATACAAATACAATAAAAGGCCAAAGAACTTACTCAAACCAGGGATATCCTCAACTTTGATGACTTTTTTAGGAATACCAGCTTCTTTCTGAGTCAAATGAATCTTTCATTACAGCTATGTTTGAAATATTTATGCATAAATTGCAAAGACTAAACCATAAAACCATAATAAAGGAAGCCACAGTAGTTAAAATAATTAAAGATGTAACACCCCAATTTAAGGGTTAAATTTAAGAAATTATAAAGTGATGAATTTAATTAGTATTTTTGAAGGAAACGGTGGATTAAATTGTAAAATTTCAAAGTTGACAGACCATTTTAAGAAGTACAAGAAATTCAGTGGCTAAACCCATGATTTAACCATTTTTATTTTGGAGAGAATTATAAATCTCTCCCCGTATGTTCAGTAGAATCCATCCGATCTCTGATCGATGAGCCGAAACCACCATCGTGTTCGTTGTCAATCGAGGAACAAAACCCCTCAAACCTTTCGTCGTGAATCGTTGCCGTTCGTCGTTAATTTCAGTCGGAAGTATCGTCGGTAATAACTCGATTTCAATTGGTTTTTCGTCGATTCGCGACGATCCGATGATCCGTTTACGACACCTCCTCACCATCGTGTTCCTTGCATCGTTTCGAGTCCGTCGGTGTCATCCTTGGTCTCCGTCGACGACGGCGCGTGAGGAGGTGAAGCGGTCAAAGTTTTCGATTTGTTGAAATCGAGCTCTCCGCATTTCAAAATTGTGAACCAAGCTTTGTAAGTATCTCGAAATCGCTCAAAATAATTTTTAGGAAATTTTTCAGAAATTTTCCGACACCCTAACACTGTTCACGCGCCGCCACTGCTCGTGGGGAAGAAAAAAAAAATGACCGGTTTGATCGGTTCCAACCCGACCCGTTTACCCGACCTGACCCGTTGACCGTTGACCGGTGTTGACCAAAACTTTGACGGGCTTTGATCGGGCATTAAACGACCTTTGACTTTGACCGAGTATACCTATCCTGACATTTTTCGACGTTCCAAATCCGATTCCGCAGTTTTTTTTTTGAAATTCAGACCCGAAGGCCTCGAAATTGCCAGTCAAACCCGTTGACTTTGATTTTGACCGAAATTTCCAAATTTTTGAAAAGTCATATTTTATGCTTTCGACATCCTGAATCCGAATCCGAAGTCCGTTTCGCCAAATTCGAAAACAATAAGTTGGTTTTAACTAATTTATCATCCGATTCGATCCGTTTATCGTAATTAAACTCCGTTTTTTATATAATTTATGTTGATATGTATCTGAGGAATTTTTGGAAGTTGAATTAAAGATCAAAGGTGTTCGAATGTAATTTTTATGGTCGATCAGTATTGCACGGAAATCGAGGTAATACTTTACTACCTCTTTATGTTTTATAGAACATGTTGGTATTGGTAAATGCATGAATGAAAATATTTGGTCTCATATGTGTAATTAATGAAGATCTACACTAGAATACGAATACGTAAAAGTAGGTAACTGAATATGGCTCAGATGACTTTTATAAGAAATTGGAGGACAGTTGGAATTAAATTACAAGTTCTGGAATTAAGTGATAAAAGAATCAACCATGAATATGTAGATTATAATTTATCTCATTAAAGGTACTTAGATGATAAATTATGAGAATATTTCGATTAGGTAAAATTACGAAATTACCCTTATGTTGGAAAATGACAAGAATTATCCTTGGAAGTTGATTAATAAATCTGAAAAGAATTATTGATCTTCTAAAACTATTGATGTGCATAAGAAATGTTAGTTTTACTTGGAAATTATAGATAATCGATTTTTAACCCCAAGAATGTTTATGCTAGATACTAGAAGTCTTTTAATGAATCATTTCAAGATCAAAGAATGTTCGAGGAAGCAATTAATCACAGGATCTCTATATTATATTATTTTTGTTAAGAGCTCATATAGAAATTATCTGGTTAAGAAATTACGAAAATGCCCTTGAGAGGTAAAATAGTCAGAGTTGACCCTGAAGGAGAAAATACTTTGAGGATTTGTACTTAACTCGATTAAGTACGTACTTAGATGATAAATTATGAGAATATTTCGATTAGGTAAAATTACGAAATTACCCTTATGTTGGAAAATGACAAGAATTGTCCCTGGAAGTTGATTAATAAATCTGAAAAGAATTATTGATCTTCTAAAACTATTGATGTGCATAAGAAATGTTAGTTTTACTTGGAAATTATGGATAATCGGTTTTTAACCCCAAGAATGTTTATGCTAGATACTAGAAGTCTTTTAATGAATCATTTCAAGATCAAAGAATGTTCGAGGAAGCAATTAATCACAGGATCTCTATATTATATTATTTTCGTTAAGAGCTAATATAGAAATTATCTGGTTAAGAAATTACGAAAATACCCTTGAGAGGTAAAATAGTCAGAGTTGACCCTGAAGGAGAAAATACTTTGAGAATTTGTACTTAACTCGATTAAGTACGAATTTAATTATTAGTATCCTATCTTTGTAAAGAAAAATTCATAATATTTCGTTTGTAAAATCCGAGAAGTCACTTAACCCGAAAATATCCAAGTTATGAGTAAATACCTGAAGAACAATTTATCGGTGGGTGCTCTTTTATCAGAATTGTTCGAAAGGACTGGAATAGATGATAAATTGGAATTAAATAATAAGACCGAATGGAGGGAAAAGATTGAAATACCGTGAATTTGTAAAATGACCAAAATATCCCTGTAATGGAAATGACCCAAGAATATCACCAAGCTCCGGAATGATGGGATATCCTCGAGCTCTGTTATGATTGGAATAAAACTGAACACCAAAATGACTAAAATACCCTTATGGTCTATATTAAGTAAATGTCTTGGATTAATTAAGGAATCAAATAAGCATAGGTGTTGAACTACCTTTAAAAGAAATGGAACACAATTTAAGTGAGTAGATCAACCCTAAAGCTATGTCAATACCTGAATGGCATAAATATTACTTGAATGTGTGTTTGTCTACTCAAGTTATGCTATATGATAATTTTGGAAGTATTCAGCTCAGCTCAACTCAACTCTAGATCGCATTCAGCACTAAGAATTGAATATTTGTTCGACAAATCAACCACGAAAACCGAATTGAACTGAACGGAAGTACAATATGTATTGGAAATTTAGAAACGTCTGAATTACTCTGAAATACCCTGAAGTAACTGGAATGGACTTGACTACTAAATAAGCTAAGTAACCTCAACGACTGAGGATTAAGTAAGTGATTTGGATAAGTTTGGAAATTCTGATGAGTTTATAAGACGTACTGTCCTTATGGAACATGAATTACAAATCAAGCACGTCAGTATTTCATAATATCGTAGAAGCTTAGAAATGAAATAAAGACCATTGGAAGATCTATTCAGCGATGATTCTGAAGATGATCTATGGACAAGAATTTGTGGCATTAAAGAGTAAATACCCTGGAAGGAAAATGAATTGACCAGTCGACATAAATTGTTAAGGTTCTAAATCTTCGTTCTCAAGTTGTTCGATTATCCGATCAATTGACATGGTTGTAAAGAATTCTGAATACCCTTCTGATTACGTACAACTTCTGAAAACTGTCTGAATAAGATATGATCATGATAATTCACATTTTGAATAACTGATGATTTCGTCAGTTAATGAACTTTTCCAATAGTATTTCTAACTTTCGGTATTTTATCGGTATACTGAAAATCCGTGTTTCTCTGTCTGCTAAGATTATTCAGTACCCCTGAATAATATCTGTAAACTCTGGTGTGTTCCCTAATCATATAAATATTTTATCTGATTTCCGACTTGAATTCTGTTCTGATATATGACCTGAATTCTGTTCTGATTTCTGATCTGGATTCTGTTCTGATATCTGTTTTGAATTCTGTTTTGATTTCTGATATCTCTGTTTAGTGACGGAAAAATGTTTTAATTGGGGGGTATTGTTGAAGTATTTCCGCAGGTTCCTCGACTTTGTGCTCAGGGCCTTATATGTTGTGTTGGGTTGGGTGTATGGTTCTAGGGAACCTACACATTCTGTTGTGATGGGGGTATATATATATGGTTTAAAAGATCTGTATCTTTTTACTGGTTTTACGGGAACACACTAGACAACCTATTCTGATCTCCTGAACTCAAGCATTCAAAGTATTTATTTGAACTAAAAGCTCATTGTCCGTTAACATCTGAAATATCAGTAGGATCTCCGATCAGCATAAAAATCTGTAGATGTTCGGAACCAATAAGGAAAGATATGTTTATCTGTATCTGCACGTTCTTCAGCATCATCTGGTAGTTCTGTATTACTGAGCTTTCCAAAGCTCACTCTGTTACTCATCTTTTTTCAGGTTAAAAGAATTGTACCGGTGCAACTATCGTCATCAGTAAGGGTGTTCTTCCGGTGTTGTTTGCAGAGTACGATACATGTGATTAGGGGGCATGTAATTGTATTTTGTTTTATATGTGAGTCTGAAAATCTGTTTTAATTCTACATACTGATTAATGATTTTATGAATTTACATGTTTTGATAAAAAGTTTTAAATTTTCTGCTATTTTTACATTGGGTCCCTCCGGTGGCCCTAATGTGACACTTCAGATCTGATCGGGTTACCCGCATCAGTCTGGGGGGTTACAAAAGACCAACAACAGAAGTGGTAAAAGATAATGTGCTTTATTAGATCCAACTCAAGTGAACCAGTTTTACTAGCTGATTAGAACATTAAGAAAAATGAACAAACTAAGTGACAATAATAAAGAGTCCAGTGAATAGGAATGCCATTTAAGAGCAAGCAACAATATGATGCAATACAGTATACAAAGCAAAAACACAAACATAGAACACCAAAATATGATGCCTTGATTAAAATTGAAAAACCAAAATAAACATGAGAAACTCCATATTCTATATGTGATATTGAACATGGTTCCAATTAAAAGCCTAAAATGAACTTTTACAGGGTAATTTACTAAAGGGTAAACTTCACGTTTAGTACCTAAACTATCACTTTTGTTTTTCTTTAGTACCTAAACTTGATTTTTTTTTCAAAACCATATCTAACGTTTAATTTAGATTTCAATATGGTACCACACCGCTAAAATTTTAACGGTAATGTTGACATGTCACCATAAGATAATGCCACATCATCATTGAAAAAAATAAAAAAATCACGTCAACATTTATGTTAATTTTTTAACGATGGGGTACCAAATTGCAACCTTTAACTAAACATTAGGTATGGTTTTGAAAAAAATGAAGTTTAGGTACCAAAAAAGAACAAAAAGTAATAGTTTAGGTACTAAATGTGTAGTTTACCCTTTACTAAAAGCATGCAAACAGAACAAGATCCAGATGTACCTTTTGAAAATCAATGCCTGGATAAACAATTTGACAGTTTGAGAGCTCCCTAATCTTTTCATCGATTGCCTATTAACCACAAATAAAAACATGCATGTTAATAAAGGTTTGAAAAAAACAGTTTGAATACAAACATGAATAGCAAGAAGGAAAAGATAGAAGTAGTGGAAGGAAAGAAAATAGTCAGAAGTTTGGCTTATTGCATATTAGGTTTTGATTACACTTTTGATAACAGTCAATAATTCAGTAATCCATTCACATTGAAATTGCAAAAGGTGTTAATGCTGGGAACCAATATGCATCCAAAGAACTACCACATGTCAAATAGAGGGAAAACAACACTTTGGATAGTAATCAATGTTGCAGGCCTCCACAAAGAGGCTTCATGATGAAGACAGCAGGGTGTGACATAGGAGATTTCAACCCTAATCGGATCCTACATCAGACAGGCACTCAGGCAGTAGGAAATACAGTCTAATTTTATGAAGGACCTTGAACCCAACTTTTCAGGTGAATCTTGCGAAGAAAATCATGAAATCCAATGGGAAAATTGAAACAATACCTCACAGCTCACAAGTTGAATTGGTCCTTACAGAGGGTTATGAGAATTGCACCCCCCCCCAAAAAACACACACACACACACACACACACACAAAAGGATCCCTTGACAGAGTGAATAACAAATTAACCTGTCGCTGACGACGAATCATGGTTGATAAATCAGTATATGGAAGCTTGGGGTCGATTTTACATTCCATAAGGATTCCTCCATCATAGTCTTTAATATACCTGGAAAAGTAAAGAAATATTTAAACACAGCCTAGAAAGATATCAAGGACATTGTTAACAAAGAATAGAGAAAAGAGAACCAATATTCTCAGCATTTTAGTTCTTGATATTCCATATTTCATTCTTAAAGGAAAGCATGCATCCTGGGCATTCCAACACTCAAAGCGCATATAAGAGAGAAAGAGTTTCTCCCACTCGATTTCTCAATAATAACAAATAATAAGTGGCCTGTGGCCCTTGAGCCCTAATGATGGGGAGATAGAAAATAAAAGCAAAATAGTATGGCGGCACATTAATCATACCCGTGCCATCGATCCCTCTCCAAGTGAATCTCTTTGGTAAAACCCTGCAGTAGATAAAATTGGCAAGTCCCTTAAGATCACATTTATTGAATCAGATGATGCAAATTATTATTAAAAAGAACTGACTATAAAGAACCATAATTCTTTTGCCATATCTTGCAGGTTATTTGCACACGAGTCACAAAGTGTGGCAAAGAAGAACCATAAACACCTTCAGCAAATTCATATCTAATACACTCAATTTACAATTTAGTTCAGCTGGACTGGTGTATCTAACTATCTTCTTGGAAACGTCCTAAAGCTTTCCCTATTTTAACCTATTTTTCTTACAAAAAGAAGTCTGCCAAAGGCCATTCTATGCTTCATAGACTTGGGAAGAAAAATGTTCTACTCCTGTAAATTTATGATAAGAAAGCATATAAAACAATACAGCAGGACAACCCACACACAAAAAATGTTTATATATCATACCTGTTTGATAAAATAACCAACAGCATTATTGTCAGCATACGTCAGAAAATGTGTTAGTCCATCAACGTCACGTGCATGCTGTTTTAAATGATTCATCAGTCTGGTGCCATAACCTTTTACTTGTTCATCAGCTGTGATTGCACAAAAAGCAATTTCCCCAAACCTTTGGCTGATATTTACCACCGAAACAAGTATCAGTGAAGAGGACAAATGAAGCATTTACATCATAAAAACAAACTTCTAAGGTTATAAAAATGCTACAATAGTAGAGCTGCAGAATGAATGAATAAATAACAAATAATGAGAATTTTCCTGAAAAAGTTGAAAGAGATGAACCACACTGAGATCATGTCTGACTCCCTTAAGAATCTCAAATTTTGTATTAAAATATGAAGTAGAACTTAGTAATAGGGGAGTCGCTATAAAACAAAATTTAGCAAAAGGAACAGAGTCAAAAGAGGGAAATACACTGCATAAGGAGCAGAAAATTGATTTGACTCACAATAACATAATACCAGCAATGTAAATTATATTCAGGTATAAATCTTACCTGGCATATGGGCGATATGTGATGCCACCAACAACCTGATTCCGTCTAATAACCATCACAGACTTATGGCTTCTACAAAATCCATAGTAAGAAGAAGTGAGATATCAAAATGCACAAAAGCTTAGCTGATACCAGCATTAGCAAGAAAACTTGAAGGCCATTTCATTAAAGAAGCACAATAACCCAGCCAGAAAAGGCAGGAAAATTAACAAAGATAATCAATGTCAATATGTTAAGATGACTGAATGTTCAACCTAACAAAGAAATCCCTACAAAAAAGTGGTTTTCCATCTTGAAGTGTGTGACCCCAAAAATTTATATCTTGATACCTGTCCATCACAAGGCGAACAATGTACTCTTTTGGCATATTGGGTAGTTGTCTTCCAAATATATTCTTCAATCCAATCAACCTGAGAAGCCAAAAACCAAAAGCTGAATCTTCTATCACCAGTTCAAGAAGGGACTATGGTGGCTTGCGAGAAAACCAAAACCAAAACATCCTCCCCCATGGTCATCAATGGCTACTAATAATTAAATAAACCATGCATAATCCAAGAAGAAAAAAAAGTTAACATGAATGCTCAAGGAAAAGAGAATTAGATACCAAATCATATGCTCATCAACACCATCGTTTGAATAGCAAACAAACTTGAGTCTTCCCGCTTCTTCCTGCAAAATGATTTTTTTAAAAATGTAGATATCGTAAAACACAAGAGAAACAACCAATTAGAATAAACATTTAGTTTTTATCATTGCAACTCAAAAAAGTTGAAAAATTAACCTCTCTTTTCAAGCTCTCTTCTCTAGCACTATAAGCTCCACTAGTCTGTATATTCTCAGTAAATATCTTAACGTCTTCCTTTGTTGCAATCCCCGCCATTGTACTCCCAACTGCTGCGGTAGCCCCGGTGGGTCCAACTGACCCAGACCCAGGGGCTCCCCCGTCTTTTCCTCCATCGGCATTCTCAATCTTAACCGTGGAATTTTCGGTCTTGAGCTTCGTGTTCCGAACCAAGGCGGAGCCACCACCCCCAGACTCTAGGCGAGCAGTGGTGAAAGTACGGATGGAGGAATCATTGTCGTGGTCAAAGTCGTCGTCATCGTCGTCCACGACGGCGTCCTCTGAGTCATCAGCATCAGAATCAGAGTCAGCCCCCCGTGCGGAGATGCTCTCGAGGTCGTCATTGGAGGTTAGAGCACCGTCTCGAGTGTCGGCGGAGAAGGACGAGGGAGGTAAAGAGGAAGGAGGCGCGTGGTCTTCGGACGCAGCAGCGGCGAGTTTGCGCTTGTGGAGGGAGGAAGTAGCAGAGGCGGAGGCAGAGTGAGATGGGGAAGGGGTCTGGGAGCTACGAGAGCGGTTCGGTGCGGTTAGGTGCGAGTCCATCTCCGCAAACTCCGATTGAGTAAACTCGATGCCGATTAGGGTTTCGTTTTCACTTTAGAAATTGCAGATGGCGGTAGGGTTTTGCAGAGGGGAAGAAAAAACGGGTAAATTGAATGGCAATCTCAGTTCCAAATTTGCCGGTATCAATGTCTGCGGTACTCGGCGGCGTCGGTTCTTCCCTTTTCTGGATTTGTAATTCGTAAATAGGAGTGAGCCCAAAACGATGGGTCAATAACTATCTATCTACGTCCACTGATGCTACGTTTTGGGCTCTGAATGACAGGAAAACCTGTTCACGGGGTTTTAAGAGAGTTTATTCACTTTAGAAAAATGAATTTTAGTAATTAAATTAATAAAAAAAATGTTTGGTTTTAAACATAGATTAAAAGACATTTTTTTTAAGTAAACGGCCAAATTTATTGCATTATAATGGAACAATTTTTCCTAGACTGTGCAAATCTTGCATCAGCTTCTATGTGTAATTAATTGCATTAAAAAACGTAACTCTACTAAACTAAAATAATTTCCGGCCATTCGTTTTCTTGCTTCCTTCTCTTTCTTTCTTTGAACGCACAGATGCTTGGAGTTAAACTTGGTCTATCGAATCCTTCTACTCTGTTTTTCCTTCAATCGGGTCTATGGTGGGTTAGTCCAGCCTCTGTCCTCCGCTGCCTGTCTTGTTGTCTTTTCCAGTGCCTCCTCTACCCAGTGTGTGTCTCCATCTCCAACAGATTTGTCTATGGATAGATGGGCTGCCTTATTTCCTTCTGTCACACAAGTTGAAACCCTTTGCTAGATGTTGGGCTTCCCAAATAAACGCACTTATTTCAGAATAATCGGTTTTGGATGTGGCTAGCTTCTTCATCACCGATCTTGAATCCCCTTCTAGAATCACTCGTCTGAAGCCTAAATCGAGGGCTAGTTGGAGTGCATGTCATGCTGCGATGGCCTCTGCTGCAAATGTTGATGGTACTCTCAGGGTATATTTCCTGCATGCCCCTAATTCGAATCCATCCTTATTCAGTATAATCACGCCTAACCATACTTCATGTTTTGCTTGAATGAAACTTGAATCAAGATTGATTTTTACTATATCTTCTGGTGGTGGGCTCCATCTGACATCGCTGGATCGCACAAATTCGTGGATTCTACTGTTGGTTATGGTGAATTGTTGGCAATGACTTTGAATAAATATGATGGTTTCTTCTTCTCGAAAGATCTTCCCTTCATTCACTCTTTTGTTTTGTGCGTACCATAAGGCCCATATGGTTACTAATGCTTCATTGTATTTTGTCGGTGGTATATTGGCCAACACCCAACTAAGCCATTCTTTGAAGTTCCAGTTCAAACTCAGCAGTAAGGTTTCAAATCGCGGTCGCGTTTTCGGTTATTTCAGATTTACCGTTATTGCGGTGTCGCGGGTAACTCGACGGCGGCGAAACTGCTATATCGCGGATGAAATTGCAGTCACGAACCGTTTTTTAAACCCTGCTCTGCAGTGACCATTGGTGAGATAGTTTTTGCCAGACTACCAATGCTGACGTGCAGTCATTGATAATGTGTAGTCCTGTTTCAACTTGACTTTGGCACAAATTGTAATATGGTCCATTCGTAACATGTTTTTGAACTAGCATCTTTTTGTTGGGGCATAGTCGTTACATAACTTACATACCTGAATTTTTATCTTTCTTTGGCATTATGTGAACCACATTTTATTGTACATATATGAATATGGATTCTGACTATTGTCATTTTGCATGAGTAGTTTATAGCCACTACAAACTGAGTATTCACCTGAATGTTCTCCACCCTAGACTTGTATGTCATTTTGTTCAAATCTCAAGATTGGGATGGTTTTAATCATTCAATCTCTTCGGTTATGATTATGAATACTTCATTTATGGTCTCCATTATCTATTCCTTGGTGTCGTTATTGATTAGTTCAGCTACTATTTCGATTTCATTTATTCTTTGTGAGCCAATGAGTTTTGGTTTATCTCCTGGTATCCAGTAGTCACTCCAGATTGAAATATTCATTCTATTACCCACTTTCTATCTTAATTATTTTTCCAGTAAACCTCTTGCACTTCATATGTTGTGCCATATATAGGATGGATGGTTCCCCAGATTTGCTCCTAGAAAAGTCGAGGCAAGAAAATATTTTGCTCTTAAAACTTTGTTGTCGACGCCGTTTTTCGCCCGGACGAGGAAAATACCGATACCGATACCGACTCGGAGGTTTTCTCTTTGAAAATCGTTTCGAAATGTGAGGAGTCGCCACCAATCATTTAAGGTGAGATCGAAACACCGTAAAAATCGGGTGATTTTAATAAAACATTCTATTTTTATCAAAATATCGAGTTTTGGGGTATGCAAAAATCCAAAAATCAGGATTGGGAGTCGGTTACACGTGGGGAAGGATTAGCACACCCACAAGTGCCCAAAAATTAGTACCTAGTTGATTACCATATATTTAAAACCAGAAATTTTGAGTTCGGTCTTTATTTAATTTAAAAATCATTAAGAATGCAGAGTTTGAAAAGGGTATTCGTTTATTGAAACTGATAGCATGTAACATCCCAAACTACGGGTTAATGACTAAATTGTAAAATTTCAGAATTTGGTGATTAAAGTAGAATAGTTCAATAGTTCAATGACTTATCTGAAAATAGTTTATGAATTATTGATAGTAATTATTAAATGAAGTGAAGGGCAAAAGGGTCAATTAACATGAAAGATTTTTTTTTCCTTATAAGATAAGGGAAACACAAGTGGAATCCATTTCTTTAGGAAATGAGTTTCCACACAATTCTCTCATCTTCTTCTCTTCTCTACCGTGAAGCATACAAGCAAATGTGTGTTTCTTAATTAGTTGATTATTTGTTGAATTAAAGGTTGAGTTATGATCATTAGATGATAACTAAGCTTAAGGAAAGCTTAAATTATCTTAAAATCAAAAGATAAATGAGTTAGGGAAGATTAAAGATTTGAAGTTCTTGAGTGAAATCTTGAAATAGAATTCATATTTAAAATTGGAAGTTGGATTTGACTTGTCATCAACCTAAGTAAGAAGTATTAAGTGTTAGAATTGAATTTAGAACATGTTAAAAATTGGGTATGATTCTTGAAGTTCATAAAGAGGAGAGGATATTCAGGTTAAAGATAAGATAAATGGATATAAATGAGTTTAAGCATGTGTATGTGAGTTTAGTGGTATGAAAGGAGTTTTATATGAGGAAATTTAGTGAAGAGTTGATGAATTTTCGGGTGAAAAAGTATGTTATGCGCATGGTGCATCGGTACACTATAAATGGTTACCGATGCATTAAGACAAATTTTGAAGGTGCTTCGGTACATTAAGGGGTGCATCGATGCATGGGAATTTCGAACCTAAATTGTGTATCGATACACCCATAGTGCATCGGTACACCCCTAAAGGAAAAATGGAATTTTGGTTCATTAAACTGACTTGAGTTATTAACATCAAGTTATAAGGTTTAGGCTACTGATAATCGTCTCGGAAATTATGTTTATGTAGATATTGAGCCTAAACAAGTTCCGGAACAATCAAAGAATTAGGATCGAATCAAAGCAAGGCTAAGGTGAGTGCATACTAGTTGTAAATGATGTGTATGGAAATAAGACTCGCGATGAGTCTAATACGAATATTTGATTGCATAAATATATGAATGTTAGTATGTGTTTGATATGACTATTATGTATGCATGAATACATGAATAGATTCATAGATTTATATGTTATTTGGTGTGATAAGAATATGAATAGTTATATGATGACAATGTAGAAATTATATGAATTAAATCTAAGTGGTTAAATGAAAAATGTGAATAGAATATAAGTTAAGAGATTGGCATAAATGAGTATACAAATGTGTCAAATAAGTTATATAGGAAAGTTGATATGTTTAAGTGGAACTGTGACCTAAACTTGTTAGATTTCTATGTGATATGAGTTAGAGAATAAAGGCCCAGAAAATTATATGTGAATATTTTAGAAATTAAGTAATGATAATTTATGAGAATATATGTCTATGTGATAAGTGTAAACATTAATTTTTTCATTCCATTTTATTATTATTATTATTATTATTATTATTATTATTATTTATTATTATTATTAAAATATTATTACATTACAGGCCATTTATAACCTAGTGGCCCAATTGGAGCCCAATAACCAGGCCCGTTTTACATAACAAGAACTGACCCAGATCTAGAAGCCCAAAAGAAACCCTAAACCAGATTAGGGTTTATGCTTCATCTCAGCCAGCCGCCAATGATCCCAGCCGTTGGATCTGGCAAGATCCAACGGCCCACACGCATCCAGAACAAACCCTAGGGTGATAATACCCTAGGACCACGCGGCGCCGCCTCTACCTCCAACCGCCCCACGTCGACGTTCCAGCTGCTGCCGCCCTCACCAGAAGCCTCCAGAAGACCTTAACGACCGTCCACGTCGCAACAATAGGGTGAGTCACCACATAGTTCGGTGACTCACCGAGAAATCCCTTTGGGACCGGTCCGACGAGAGCCTCATCGAGGCTATAAAGCCTCGGTTCACCTGCAAACAAAGAAAGGCAGCGAGCAAGAACAGAGAACATAGCAACCAAAACAGAATCGACAGCAAAAAGAAAGGAGAGACACCACGAGAGCAAGAACTACACCAACGATCCCAGACAACTACATATCTAAAGAAAAGAGAAAAAGACGATAAAGACTTACCGAGAAGACTACGCGAGGTCGGAGCCACCATACACCGCCGTGAAACCAAAAACGTCGAAGGTAACCTACTTAGATCTACGCAGTTTGGCAAAGATTTAGGCTAAAATACCTTCGATTTTGGCTTTAAGGTAAATTAGGCTTTTATTTGGGGTAAACTTGTAATTTCCAACCACCGTGGGTGGTGGTCGGTGCCGGAGTACGGCAACCGGCCGGTGTCTAGTTTCCCTCCGACGAGGGAAACTAAGAGAGAGGCGAGAGAATTTTGTAAACTCTCTCAGTTAGAGAGAGAAGAGGGAAAGAAGAAAATGAGGAGAATGGCCTGAAGGGCATGCCATTTGGGTCTTATATACCCCTCCCAAACGGCGTCGTTTTGGGTAGGGATATATGCATAATTTG